AGGATTCCTAGATTTTTTTTCTGCAAAGCTGCATTCTGGTCATTTGGCCCCCAGCCTGTACTGTTGCAAGGGGTAATTCTATCCCAGGTGCAGCATTCTTCTATTTGCCTTTGTTGTACTTCATGATGTTTCCAGCAGTCCTTTTAGACAGCCTTGTGTGATTCTTTCAAGTGGCAGTCCGGCCAGCCAGCATATCAGCTGGGCTCCTTTAGTTAGCGTTAATGCACAAACTTGTTGAAACACAGAGCACTTTTACAGTAAATATGTTTTATTCAGTAGGCTATGACAGGGAATGTTTTGTGATTCGAAAGACACTGTTTTTTCACATCATGTGGTGTAAGTCACATGACCAGGGAGTTGCTGTGATTAGCTGGTATACTTGAAGGTTTCTGTGTTTAAATCAATGTGTACCAGAGACCAGGAGCCTGCAGACAGTGAGTCAGCACTTAGCAATGGTAAGTTAGGCGTTTGCTCTTCTAATGTTTTTATGAAAGAAATGTATATAGAATATAAAATCACAGATCTTTTTCTGCAGTCTCACAAGTATATAGCTTACTTTCCTAAAAGATTTGTTTTATGATCTGGGTGTTAGAACATAAAATAATTTTAAAATTATTTTTAGATGTCAAAGTTAGAAGGAGATGAATTTTAGTTTGCATTCTATGCAAGTAATATAATTTTGTCGGCTTATGATTAATATTTTCAGAGATGCTATGGATTGAAAACACATTGTTGTCAAGACAAACAGTGCTGCTGGAATAAGTAGGGGCTAGTTGACTGTAACAAATTACTATGAGATCCAAGGTCTAATTTTCTGTACTAGATGTGCTAAGTCAATATATTTTTTTAATTGTGATGTACAGAACGAGAGTTGCAAAGTAATCATTTAAGCAGTTGTATGCTCTGTTTCCCATGTCCCACTGTCATTCTATTATTGGCATTGAGAGATTCTTGATTCTTCTGAGACAGAATATGCCTCTGCTGTCCACAGCACCTGTTTTTATGAAATGGTTTTCAGGATGCTATTTTTGTTAACTGAATATGAGTCATAACATACACATCTCATTTAAGTATAAGTTAATGTACTTTACTGTGAATGTGTAGGTCTTGTATTTTTTTCTCAAAGGAATTTCGTATATGTAAGTTCTTTTTCCAGAGTTCTACTTTGTGGATATACAAGATGGCATTGAAAAGAAAGTGAAGTGAAAAGAAAGAAATCTGAGTAGAGCAGAAAAATAAAACATTATTGTAAAACAGAGAAGAAATACATAGTGTTCTTGTAGGAATTGGCGCACTGAAGAATTCTTAAAAAAAAAAAAAAAATGTAAAAAAGGAGCTGCAGCAAGCGAAAGGGCTAGGCGAGAATGGGAAAAGGGGATAAAAGGGGATGAAGGGTTAGGGGAGATGCGGGAAAGAGTTGCATTAGCAAGAACTGAAAACGCTTTGTCAGACTTTGTCAGTGGGGTCTGAAGCCTTTTCTGTGGTCCTTCATCTTGATTTCATGGGGAGCTGCAAGCCTTCTGTGCTCAATAGTCCTCAAGAGCTGGGGAAAAGAAGGAGTCAGGGGAATCGAGAATAAGTATGCCAATCAGATAAAACAAGCATTTAATATTGAGGCTTGGGTGGTATGTTGAACACTGAACGAAGATGGAGTGGAAGAAGGTGTGTTGCTGTTACCTACTCCTGTCAGATTCCAGGGAGATTGGGTAAATAGCCTGGTTTTGTTCTGATATAAAAAAAAAAAAAAGAAAGAAGCATAAGTTGAGAACATAAAAGCTTCACTTTGTGTGAAGTACTGAAAAATTTAAAAAATGATTAAATGAAAATATTTTCAAAGAGATAGGAGAAATTGGAGAGATTAGACATGCAGAGTATCAAAGCAGAAAGATTTGGAGAGGAATAAATAGGGGAGGGGCAGTAGTGAAAGGAAAACCATTCAAGTGGTAATAGAAAGAAGGTGAGACCTTAACACAAGGGTCTGTTTGCCAGCCTGATACTTCACTTTGTTGTCTGTTTTAGGTTCTGGGAATGTTTTGGTTACTTGCTTTGATTTCTGTTGGATACTCAAGCATGGAGATTTTGCCTGTCTGAGAGCCTTGCCATTTAAGGAAAATCTGTGTCTCTTCCTTTGCCTCCCATATATGTTGTGAGCTTAAATGCTTTCTGTATTCACTCCCTGCACTCCACTGACTTTCCTCGGTGTGAGTTGGAATATGAGAGAGACACAAAGTGTCAGAAGCTTTAAAGTCTAGAAGATAAATAGTAATAAAAAGTCAGCCTCTTTTATGGTAGGGGAGGACCAGTGTGGCAGAATGAGTTAAGGCCTGACTCACATGAGGAGAACGTGACAGGTTAGTAGTCTAGTAATGGTGCAGGCTTAGATTTGATCTACTAATTAAGCAGTACGATTTATGTCAGCCTTGCAATGTGTTTTGTTCCTGCCTTTCATAGTTGCGTTATAACATACTGACCCAGGCACTGCAAATAACTTTTCAAATTTTCATAACATCTGGGTGATGTAGGGAATTGCAAGAGCTTGAACAAAAGAGTTTGTTTTGCTCTTTAAATATAATGATAGTGCTAATAACTGGATTTTTAAGCGTCTGTTTGTATGATTGAGAGAATTTTGATTTTTTTGAATGAAGACCTCTTTTGCTCTAAGAAAAGTGTCCTTCAAGAGTTACCAGCTCTTACCAGTTCCTCTATCTCTAAAGACAGTATTCCAGGGGATCTCATCCACATTCTCAGGTATCTTTGTCGTGAGCATGATTTTGTAGTATGTGAACCTTATTTCTTACTGGGTATTTTGTTATGAACCATTTAGCTGAGCTCTGTTCCATGGATCCTATTTCTAGTTCAGTAAATTCCCTTTATGTATTATCAGGAGCTCCAGACAGGGGGAGAAAATAAGGTGAAAAAAGCTTGTGTGTCAAGACAAAAGCAGGGAGACTGCTTACCAATTGCTGTCATGGGCAAAACAAACTTGACTTGAGGAAAATGAATTAAATTTGTTGCCAAATAAAATGGAATTGGATGGTGAGAAACAAAGACAAAACCTAAAACACCACCACGCCCTTTATCTCAGGTTCAACTTCATTCCCAGCTTTTCTACCTTGTCCCCCTTCCCCCTTCCTCTCTAGCGCTGGTAAGCACAGAGGGATGAGGAGTGGGGTGTTGCAATCAGTTCATAACAGTTTTCTGCCGCTCCTTCCTCCTTACGCTTGTCCCTGCTCCAGTGTAGGGTCCTCTCCATGAGTCTGCAGTTCCTTCAGGGAACGACCACTAGCTTCACCATCATTCTGTCCATGGGCTGAAGGGAAATTCCTGCTTGCACCATGGACTCTTACATCGCCTCTTACTCGCTCCACTATGGTGCCTTCCAAAACTTCTGTGGGTTGCAGGGAAATCCCTGCCCTGGTAGCTGGAGCACATCCTCCCAGTCTTTCTTCTTTGACCCTGGTGTGTTGGTTCACAGGGTTGTTTCTCACACCTTTCTTTCCTCAGTCCTCAATGCATTGCAGCTGTTTGCACTGTCTGAATTACATTTTCCCAGAGGCATAGTCAGTTTCATTGATGGGCTCAGCTGTGTCCTGTAGCAGGTCTGATATAGAGATGGCTGGAACTGGCTGTGTCCAGCACAGGGCAGCCCCTGGCCTGTTCTCACAGAGGCCACCTCAGCAGCTTCCCAACAGCTGCCAAAACCTTGCTACGCTCAGGCAGATCGTATTTGCCAAAATTCAACTGGGTTTGAAGAATACTTTAAGTGCTAGAAAAGAAAAGTCTCTGTTACCATTCCATACAGCATTTGCTTGGGGTCTTTACTTTGGCTCTTAATGTTTAAGAGAAATCTTCCTGTGTCATATTTTTAAACTAAATTCCTTTACTTTGTTGCTTCCATACTTATCTTGCAAATAGTGGTGTAGGTGTATTGTCTGATATGTTATGTGCATCTGTGGTTATATTTATGTCTGTCCTGTATCTTCCTTATATAGTTGGCCACGAGGCTGATTTTGATAACACATGTTGAGTATTTCAAGATACATTTTGGAAGACATCGTGGCAGCACAGCTTATAATGAACATCCCTCTCTTCATTTTTTTTGAAATACTTCTTAAAGGAATGACGTTTTCTCTGATGACATGAATTCACCAGTTTTAAGCAAAAACAGAAAAATAGAATCGTGACTCATGCTTCAAGTACAATTCATTTGACTGCTTTATTTTCTTTAAAGAAAAGATGATGTAATTTTTATTGGACATTCGAAACTATTGAGGACTAAAATCTTTAGAGTAAATATTGAATTGTTTCTTGACAGGAAAATCCAGTGCATCTGTTCATGTTCATTGAAGTAGTTGTATAACTTAACATACTTTTAAAAAATAATAACAATAATGATTTTTATTATTATTATTTTGGAAAATTATTGACAACACAACTGTTTGACTAAATTATTATTTAAACTTCATTTCAAAATCGTTTTTTGTACAGTTAAGTACATTTGACATTCAAAATCTACTGAACCAAAAGCAAAACTATGTAGAAGAAAGGAATCGAGCTATTTCTGGTTATTACGCGGTTTAAAATTTTCAAGGTATATAGTCTTACTTTCTCAACTCCAGTTTAGATATTGAAATAGAAAAAAAAATTTTTCTTACTCTTCAAGTTCCATTCAGTTTTACCACTTCTGTCAGTTGGCTGTAAATATGACTGAGTCAAATAACCCGATCTGAAAAATGTTTTCTCTTTCTCTGGAGCTGCAGATGATGCCAATGCTATGTAAAGCTACACGTTCTGTTTTCAGGTGCTTGGAAACCTAATTCTAAGTGTTCAGTTTAAAAAATATTTTTGCAATAGCAGATAAATAATGTTTTATTTTTTTAATGGCAGGTATTGGAATATACAAGAATATACAATTTAATTTGAAATTATACATTTTTCAGAAGAATATTTACAGAGATGTGTCTTGCTTTGGAACTTTTTTTTTTTTTGTGCATGCATAGGTCAAAGATTACTGGGAAGTTCAGCACCTGTCAGTATTCCAGGTTCTCTTGTTCGTTCCTCATCTTTACACTCATCATCATCCCTTTCAACCTCTCCACTCAGTTCTCTTTCACAATCGCTGTCTCAGTCTTTTGTTTCATCCACTATGGTTCCCCACCAACAGCAGCCCCAACCCTTGAAGTCAGAACACAGTATGTTGGGCACCTCAGCCTCTTCTCACAACTCTTTAGGTAAGTTGAAGGCTGCACTTTGCATATTTTAAGAGAGGAATCAATGGCAGGTCAGAAAGGCTCAGTTCAAGGCTTTGCGTGTTTCCTGTGAATTAATCTGGAAGACAAAGCCTAGCTAATGTGGTATATGGGAGAAAGTTCAAGGAGCTAACGTTCCTTCCTAAAGAAGGGGAAAAAAAGAAACATTTTCCAGACTGTACATGTCTGAAGATAATAAAATAATGAGTCTTGCAGATAAAAGTATAAATTTTGTATGCATGGTGCATTTACTTAGTCTGAATGTGAAAAATTTTGCAGCAGAGTGTATAGACTTTTTTTTTGTGGTTTTGTTTTACAGGTTTAAATGGTGTTACAGGGAGCATTTGGGACTTTGTGGCTGGGAGTTTCTCTCCTAGTCCGTCCCCAGTATTAAGCATTGGCACTACTCTCTCAATAAGTTCAAACACAAGTGGGAACGAACTAACTCGAGTTAGACAGGAACTTGATGATGCCAAGAGAAAACTAAAACAATGGGAAGAATCTTGGCAACAAGTAAAACAGGTACACTACTTCATGGTAGTACTAATTTTTTTCTATATTTTTATTAACAAACATGTACCTCCTGTTTTCCCCTCTTGCATATTTTATTATTCTTGGACACAGAGTTTCATTACATGCTGTGAAATGAATAGACTGCAAATGCTGTTTCTTCCATCTTCCAAATAAGCTGGCGGCATAAAGAAAACAGACCTTTTTAAAAGTCAGTCTGCCTCTCTAGACCGTGACACTTAACACAGCCTCAGGATAGTGCTGAACAGCAATGTATCTCAATGTTAGGTAACTAAAGGCATGCTTTCCCTCCTGTATCTCTTTCAGTTGGTAAGAACACACACAAAAAAGATTTGCCAGCAACTATGGCTGTATAATGAGCCTAGATGATACACAGCCATCTCAGCAGTCAAACCGAGGCTGATGATAACTGCCAGTCTAGTGCATTTTCTGTAGTCCTTTTCCTCCCCTCATATCATTCTCTCTGTGACATGGAGTAGCAAAGTAGCTCTAGTACATTTTGAAAGTTTTTGATGTCTCCTGACATTAGATTATGAATATGTGTTCATTTATAGAGCTCCAAAAGCACTTCTAGGTGTTTACAGACAAGTAACAGTGACATATCTAAAAATTAGGTTAAGGCAAAACAAGAAGAATTGTTAATTAGACAGTAGAATAAGTAGGGAAAAGCATTAAATCAACTGTGATAGCATCCTTATATCTAAAATTAGAGATTGCTTTCATCTTTGAAGGCTTTTGAATTTGCTCTTTCATTTATAATTTTACAAATATATTTTTTTATATTCTGGAAAATGTTTTCTCCCAGGCATGTGATGCGTGGCAAAAAGAGGCTCAAGAAGCAAAAGAACGTGCTGATGTTGCAGCTGCTGACAAGCAACTCGCTCTTCAGAAGAAGGAGGAAGTGGAAAATAAATTAAAAAAGCTGAAGGTGCAGTTAGCTGCCTGCCTATCTACTACATTACCTTACATAAAAAACTCTGGAGACATAGAAAAGATACCCTTGCCAATGCTTCGTTCCTTACAAAGTCAGCTGCACTTAGATTTAGGGACAGTAGATGAGGTAAGTTCTCTTCATCTGTGTAACTACATTTGCTTAACTGAAACTGACAGCTCAGTCACCCTCAATGAGATGCATATGCCAGGTTTCATTTCAGAGAGCATCACTGGTCTCAGTGTCAAGTCTTCCTTTTCTGGATTACACAATGGTTAAAATTTCTCAGCCTAACGGGTTCTTCTAATTTTTAGATCAGCTGTCAGATAAATGACGAGAGTTTCACAAGAACTCTAAGGATAATTTAAAAAAAATAATAAAAGATCTAAACAGTGGTTTTCCTCCCAGTACCTAAATAAATAAAAAGAGTTGCCCGAAATAAATGAAAACAGTTACACGCTATTCACTTGTTTAGAAGGTGGATCGTGAGGTTTACCAGTAAGAGCTTGCATAGTCAGAGACTAGTATAGACTTGGAGCATAGAATCACTGACATTAGAAAGGACCTCTGGAGATCATCTCGTCTAATGCCCCACTCAAATCAGGGAAAACGTGAGCAGGTTGCTCGTGGCTGTTCCTGGAAGCGTTTTGAATATCTCCAAGGATGGAGACACCTCAACCTCTGTAGGCAACCTTTTCCACTGTTTGACCACCCTCACTGTAAAAGTGGAATTTTCTGTACTTTTACTTAGTGCCTAGTGGAACAATGCTCTTCTTTCATAGGATACCACCAAGAAGAGGCTGTTTTCTTTACCTCCTGGCACAAAGTATTTATGCACACTGATAAGATGTCCGCTCTTCTTTCAGTCCCTTAGTCACCATAGTGGCATAATGCTGTATTCCATCTTCTCTCAAATCCAAATATAAGTTCTACCAAAATGTAGGATGTTCTTTTGTTGTCATATGGACAGCATTTCTCAGGGCTGTCAAAGCTTGGGAGTCTGATGCCAGTCCTCTGACCATAATCAAGGAAGATAATAATGACCATGGACTGCTCCAGGCACAAAAAGCCTCATTCCTACTTAAGACCGTCCTGGACGCAGCTTGGTTCCCCATTGCTTTTTCCTCTGCAGTCTCAAAGGATAGTAACGCCATACATAATGGCAATTCTTGCTATTTTGTTTGGACTGTGACAGGACTGTCCAGACAAAAAAAAATTAAAAAAAATCCTTTCACTACTGAAACAGTCTGCCATACCCCAGTACCTGTTTACCTGTTTGAGTACAGCAGTGTCTTCCCTGTCTTAGTGCACCTCCTGTATGATGCCATCTATATCGGCATGAACTGGAGCCTTGAAAAAAAGCTAGGCTTTCTTTGAAGACATTAAAGCATAACTTAAGTCTTTGGCAAGAAAGCAAGTAGATGAGACTTGATATTTACCAGGTTCCTATTACCAAGTATGTTTGGATTAAAGACCGCTATTGTTTTTCTCCTTAGGGATTTTAAATAGGAGCAAAAGAATCCTGGAATCTCTTTATCTGAACAAAGTCATTAGATCCTGGAATGGAAATCATCTCAGCCAGGCTGGAGTGATTAGAACCATTACCAGCCTTTACTGTTCCTCAGTCTCTCTTTCTTTTACCACTGTGGTCTCTTCTCACCTAGCTCTTCCTTCCAGGAGAAAGTTGCTGTCTTACACAGTGTTAGTGTTCTGGATACTTCTCTTAATCTGAGCGTCTCTCTTTCAAGAAATGAACGTGCCTTGTAGATGCCTTTAAATGCTTCCTGTTCCTTATAAGGTTCATATGGTTTACTACATGGAGACATTTATTTGTAGTTGTAACATCCTCCCTTCCCCAAAGTCAGTATCAGTAACTTTATTCAAAGTGTATTACATTTGTGAATTCCATTTTGTCTTCAGACAAACATTTTTCACAGACTAAGAAAATGTAGTAGTGGTTTAAAATGTCAAAATAGGGAACTACATGATAATGAAAAAGGATACTTCTTCTCTCCTTTTTTTTTTCCTTTTTTTTTCTTTTTTGTTTTTATCACTCATCTCAGTCATGCAGTCCAGAGGTGCTAACCTAGATGTCTTCCATTCTAAATGCACATGTATTCTTCTAGCTGCTACTCTAAATGTTGTGCATGCATGCAGTACTCATGACCTGCAACTCAGCTATTCATCATACAAAAACATTGTCCTTTGTGTTGCTACGACAGAAGTTTATCCGGGACAGCTAAGCATCAAATTGCTAGAATGTGACTCTATAGTTTGGATTCATTTTCACTGAGTGCAGTAACCATCTTACAGGTGATTTTTCAGCTTCAGTCAAAGAAGTGTATATTATGTCGAGAAGGTGATCGTAGCATTATCCTGAATCCATGTCAACATTACATACTTTGTGACCACTGTGCAGCTAGACAAGAAGAATGTCCCTGTTGCAAGAAATCAAAAAATCCACGGTAACATAGAGGCATGGTACTTATATCATGTTTATGAATTAAAACTATTTTATGTTTTTGTATTTTGTATAGGAATTATATAAATCACTGATAATTAATCAACTTAATAGTGCTAGGTAGATTTTGATTTTGTTGTAAGAAACTTAGTTGCTTTGCTTGCTCACCTTTACATATCAGTTTCAGCCATTCAATGATTTTTTTATAAGTCTTAAGATTCTTTCGTTCCTGCCCAGTTCCATCCCAATCTTTTCCCATCCACTTACATTCTTAGTGCGCAGTCTACCTAGCTTCATTTGCACCGTAATCACTTTGTATAAATTTTACCATAATGCATGAATGAAAGTATTTATACCTATTATTTTCCTTATCAGAAGATAGATACATAGATACAGTAGCTACACACTAAACAGTACAAATGGTACCTTTGCCATGTCTGTTGTGTATGGTATGCCAGAGCCAGTATTTTGGAATTGGTCTAACAGTATGTTTACTTGTTTGTTTGAAAAATTATATGAATAATATAAATGCACTTTTTATTTTTATTTTTTTTGTTAGAGGATATGTTGTAAATTGCTTCAAGCTGCTTTCTAGGTCTTAAGTTTATTTTTAATACACAATAATATGATGGTTTATATATGTGTACTGTGAATTTTAAATATTTCAGATGGTTTTACTGTTAAATCATAATATGATTAAATAGAAGTGAGATCTTACCTAGATTTTTTACAATTTATAAGTTAATTGCATACTACAGTATTTATAAATGTACCAGTGGAAAGAAAAACAGTGAGGCACATGTGCTTTCATATTCAAGGGCATGTTTTACATTTTGTGAGACAGATCAGTTTTAGTAAACAACTGTGCGTTTGCATTTCTCTCTTTGTTTAGATGTTTGTAGTCTTAAATTTTTTGTATATTACCTAACTTGTGTGGTACTTAATGGGAACCCGTATGAAACACACAATAACTTTTATAAAGTGCCTATGCCAAATGTCGTATAAAATAACAGAAGACATAAAAAGAGAATTTTGCAAATAATTTCTATTGCATAATTTTTTATCATACAATTTGATGATAATTAGAATATGTCTCTTGCTTTTATAAATATTTAAAAATACACTTTTTCAACAATGAGGTAACACATTTGAAAGGAACTACAAAATTACCTAAGTATGTAATCAGGCAGTGGCACTCTTGACATAGCGATTCTTTTAAAAGGGTGGTAACAAACTTACTTCATCTTGGTTGTTTGGAACATTCATTTCAGGAGGAGAAGTTAGTCAATTACTGTATGTTACTACTATCTACTTTTCTTACAAGGAATAATTGCCTGTGTTATTCTTTCTTTTGTTTAATACAGGTGTGACACTAGTACAGCTTACATTGAAATGACCTACTACTGTGTTACATGATTTGTATCTCCGTATTATTGTATTCAGAATAGGAATTGAGTTCATAGGCAGTAAAGAGTTTATCTATTTAAAGTTAAATCATGCTGAAACAAACAAACATAAAACAACAAGATGTATACTAAAATTATTGTTGTTGAAACAGATAAAGCTTTTTGAATTCTGTCAGTATTAAATATAGGACCCAAGCCAAAAGTACTTAAATTATTGTATCCTCACTGGGTTTTGTAGTCTTTGTATGAAGGCTTCAGTTAGCAAAAAAATAATCATTACATATTTCTGTGATACCTAAATGTACAGACTCATTGCTGCTTTCCTAAGACATGCCAGCCTGCAAGAACGTTACAGACTTTTCAGGAAGGGAGAAGAAGGATAAAATATTAAATATATGTCTACTTATTCCTATTTTAAAATTTTATTTGAAGATCATAGTAGTCCATTTTAAATAAACATCAAATTTGGGATTTAAAATGTGATTTTGCTGACTTTCACACAGTTACTCAAAAATATTTGTATTGAGAAGAGTATAAAATTAGACTATATTGGTATTTTCAAACGTGCTTTTGTGCCCTAATCATGTCCTAAAATAAAATGCTGTTCTGTTTTAAAGGTTTAACCAGTTTTTGACTTTTTTTTTTTTTTTTTCCAAAAAAAGGAACTTTGATCATCAAGTTTGGCTGTCTTTTTGCATCTCTGCAGTCTATGACAAATATTCGTTTTTGATCTGTAATAGAATTTTGGACTAAAGCAGAGTTAGTCACATGAGATTTTTTAAACAATAAGCAAATCAAGGAATAATGTGAAACAAGATGTTGTTTTGGATACTGGTGTACTATATTTATCCACAATGTGGAATACTTTTCTGCAACTGTTGTACTCACAAACATGTCTAGAAAGAGTTTGGTCAGAAATTCTGCTGTGATATTTCAGAGGAAACCAGTTCAGCCCACATTGTGCTGCTGATATGCTGCAATGTGACATTTGTTTCCTAAGAGATATGGAAGTATGTTTTCTTGCTTCTTGTCAAAGGTTATTGTTCTTTGTGTGAATTAGTGTGCAATTGCCTGTGATCCTATAGCTATTTTTGGTCTCTCTCTTTTTACATTTTTTTTGGTACTAATAGGTGATTTTCCTCATCTTGTGATGCCAACCAAAAAGAAATTTAAACAATATTTGCAGCATGAATCATCACATTGACATTTGTAGTTTGTGTTGCTTTTTTTTTAGAGGAAATAAATGAATATGTTGAGTTTGTTGCTTTTTAAACAGTTGTATGCTTTGCGTTTTATAATGATGAATCTTGAAAATAATGTTGTGTGTCCCATAGTAATATCAGTATTGAAAATTTTGCGTATGTTCCCCTGCAAGCTTTTGTTGCGCTGATTTATGGACACAAACTATTGACAAATCATTTAGTGAAGAAGGAAAAAAAAAATCAGATGGAAGAAATGTACCTATATGTGAATTTGTCAGGCTGGGCAGCTTGCTGTAACTACAGACAAACCTTACGTGATTGCTTGAACCGTACATAGCACTCAAAAGGAAAGTGCTATAAATGTTCTTCATAAAATTCTTCATATGAGAAGTTATAAGCAAAGTTTTATGTATATTAGTAAAAAGCAAGTCAACTGCCAAGACAAATAAATGTGTACTTTTACGCTAGTACTTTAAAATGGAGGATAGTAAGATACATGCACTTGACTAGAGAGGACTATTTCGAAGTAAAAAGGGAACCCTGAGCCTTATAAGTATTTGTCCTTGTGCTATATATACTATCTAGAAAATACATTATATTTTAGTGACACTACAATACAGTAATTTGTTGCATTTCCAAAATATCTTAAAGCAAACTAAGTAAATTTTCAAGATTCATTTTGTTTTTTAACAAAATTTTGTGTTAATTTATGTAAGAATATTATTTTATTGTGGATGCCGTTATGCTGTCACAATTATTATAGCCTGGGGAATAATAGATTAAAACTGGGATTTCTCAGGGTTTTTACAGTTAAGAGCTGTAATTTAACCGAAAGTATGCTAATCACAGGTAGATCCCAAGCTGCATGTTACAAGCTTATTACTAGTTTTCTTTGAATAGCTGATTATTACAGACATACTTGTTTTCTTACATATTGCCATTCAGAATATTCTAGTATCAAATACAGATAATCATATTATTACTGTCACACTATACATGTGTTAACTGTGGTCATCATCCGACCTTAAATAAAAAAGGTATTTTTACTCATATTAATTTATGAAAGCTGTTAATGTTTAGAGTGTACAGAAAGAAACGATTTTGTGAATTGTTCTTAATACAAAACATATTATTTATAATGCATACCCATTCACTTGTAGTGAACTGTTCAAAATTCTTAACACTTGTTAAACTTTTCTACATGATGGCATTTATGCAATGGTTTACAGAAATCATGGAATTATTTTTATTACCAACATGGAAATAAAATTTTGATCTTTATTTCTGAGCTATACTGTGCTTACAGAGAATCAAAAATTTACTAATCTGTTTTTCTCTGCAATCTAATCATAGAATGGTTTGGATTTAAAGGGACCTTAAAGATCATCTAATTTCAATCCCTCTGTGAAGGGCAGAGGTACCTTCCTCTAGACCAGGTTGCTCAAAGCGCCCGCGGGCGCCCTCTGCCGCCTCCTTCTGGTGGAAAACGAGTACAGCAGGCGGCCGGCGGCCGCACATACGCGGTGGCGCCCGCGGGGGCCCTGTGCCGCCACCTCCTGGTGGAAAATGAGTACTGCAGGCGGCCGGGCGACGCGCATGCGCGGTGGCGCCCGTGGGCGCCCTCTGCCGCCACCTTCTGGTGAGAAAAAGGGTACTGCAGGCGGCCGGGGGGCGCATAAGCGCGGTGACGCCTGCGGGCGCTCTCTTCCGCCACCTGCTGGCGGAAAAAGTACTGCAGGAGACAGGGGGCCGCGCGTGAGCGGTGGCGCCCGCGGACGGCCACTGCCGCCACCTCCTGGTGGAAAACAAGTACTGCAGGCGGCTGGGGGGCGCGCATGTGCGGTGGCGCTCGCGGGCGCTCTCTGCCGCCACCTGCAGGCGGAAATAGAGTACTGCAGGTGGCCGGGGGGCGCACATGCGCGGTGGAGCACCCGGGCGCCCTCTGCCGCCACCTGCTGGTTGGAAAGCGGTACTTCAGGCGGATAGGGGGCGCGCATGCGCGATGGCGCCCGCGGGCGCCCTCTGCCGCCACCTCCTGGTGGGAAACGAGTACTGCAGGCGGCCGGGGGGCGCGCATGCGCGGTGGCGCTCGCGGGAGCCGTCTACCGCCACCGTCTGGTTGGAAACGAATACTGCAGGCGGCCCGGGGGCGCGCATGCGCGGTGGCGCCCGCGGGCGCCCTCTACCGCCACCTGCTGGTGGGAACGAGTACTGCAGGCGGCCGGGGGGCGCGCATGCGCGGTGGCGCCCGCGGACGCACTCTGCCGCCATCTGCAGGTAGGAAAGGGGTACTGCAGGCGGCCGGCGGCCGCGCATGCGCGTTGCTTATTACGTCTCTTTTTTTTGATGTGTAATTTCCTACGATCCTTGATTTTTCTTCATATGTAAATGAAAGGTTTGAGCTAATTCCCGTTGAAAATATTTCATTTACTTTCTTTGTTGTATTGTCCTTTCTGCGTTCAAAGCTGAGGTGAAAATATGGTAAATTTTGCTTCTAGAGAACACCACAGTTCTTTTGTCTGCACTCCGCATGCTGTAAACTAGGGATAGGGGAAAAAAAATAATAAAAAAATAAAAGAACACAGCTGCTGCTGCTCCTGCTCTCTTTCTTGTGGTTTGCCCCCTCCTCTTTCCCAGGTGATTGGGTTTGGGTGCTGGGCGGGGTCAAATGTTATAGGAGCCCCAGGCATGCTATCAGAGAGCTCCTTCTGCCTGGGCTGCTTTGGGGTCAGTGCTTTGTTTATTCTTCTGTTAGCTACATGCAGGGTTCTTTTGGTGGGTCAGAGTCTTGTACGATCTTTTAGAGAGAACCAATCTAGTAGTATGTGCATTTATTGCATGAAGATCTTTGGAGGTGATTAATTCTTATAGCACATTTATGGATAGGATGTCAATGTTATTTTGAGTGTTTGCTTTGTTGTTCTAGGTCCCTCGTAATTTTTGCAGGGTTACAGGGCAGATGCCACCAGGTCTACCCCTTTTGTTGTTTTTGTTTTGTTTGATTTTTTTTTCTTATTTTCTTTTTCGGAAGGGGGTTTGGGATTTGAGCGTCCTAGTTTTTTGGGTTTGGGATTTGAGCGTCTTAATTTTGTGGTTTGGGAATTGAGCGTCTTAATTTATTGGGTTAGGGGTTTTAGGCATAGGTCTTCAGGGGTTTAGTGTGGTAAATAGTTAGGGTTAGGTGTGTCGAGGTTTCGAGGATTTTTAGGGTTAGGGATTGAGGCTTTTTTGTATAAGGGCTAGGGCTACAGTGAGGGCTGTTAAACATAGTTGTCGAAAACTCGGCCTCTGATTGGCCGTGCTGGCTGCCCAGGGAATTCTGGTAGGTGTAGTTTTCCGGCACCAGGCTTCCGGTAGGCCATGTTGCGTGCCCAGAGCATACCGGGAAATGTAGTTCTGGGACTCCGAACTTCCGGGAGGCCATGTTGGGTGCCCGGAGCATTCCGGGAAATGTAGTTCTGGGACTCCGAACTTCCGGGAGGCCATGTTGGGTGCCCGGAGCATTCCGGGAAATGTAGTTCTCGGACTCCGAACTTCCGGGAAGCCATGTTTGGTGCCCGGAGCATTCCGGGAAATGTAGTTCTGGGACTCCGAACTTCCGGGAGGCCATGTTGAGCGCCCATAGCGTGACTGGAAATGAAGTTCTCAGGAACTAGGGTTGGGGTTAGGGACTAGGGCTGGGGCTAGGGTTAGAGTTTACGGTGAGGGTTGGGGTTAGGGTTAGGGTTAGGGCTAGTGAATGCTGGTTCTCAGTGTTTGCAGACGACGGTGAGCGTGTTTAAACTAATTCCAGTTGAAGAAGTTTCAGTAACTTGCCTGGTGACATGATCAGTTGAACATTAAAAGCTGCAGCAAAAGCAAAAGGGGAGTTTTGCTTCTAGAAACACCACAGGTCTCTTGTCTGCTCTCTGAATTTTTTTGAGATAAAACAGATTTTAAAAAACAAAGGAAAAAAAAAACACGGCTGCTTCTTTTGCTCTCTTCCTACTTTCTTGTGCTTTGCCCCTCCCCTTTCCCAGGTGATTGGGTTTGGGTGCTGGGCGGGGCTGAATGCTATATGAGCCCCAGGCATGCCATCAGAGAGCTCATTCTGCTTGGGCTGCTCTTTGGGATAAGTGCTTTGCTTTTCCTTCAGTCAGTTGCAGGGTTCTCTAGGCAGGCTGGAGCCTGTGGATTTCTGGATTTTAAGTGCTTGGAATTCACTTAGTAGAGGGATGTTTAGTAGGGGCTGCTGGCTCACTGTTTTTTTGTGATGGTGGGATACTCTTCTGTTTTTGAGCTATATTTTAATCTCTAGATGTATAAACCCACTTGTGTAACTCTCCAGAGGACTAAAACCAGCTTGACTGCATGCTACATGTGGCTTGGCAGTGTAGATGCAGCATTACCAAGAGACTGAGCAGGGTTGTATCAGAGTCACCTCTTTCATCTGCGTAAGTCTGTGACTACCCCTTCCTGGGCTGCTCTATGTGCATGTCTTTTTGGCATTTATGGAGCTCAGTTTTTTTTTTTTGTGTGTGTGTATGTTCAAAGTTTCTGTTTTTTTTTTTTTTTTGAGGGGCAAATAGCGTGTGTGCTGAGCGTGGTTGGCAGCAGGAGGTGGGGAGCTGCTCAGGACTGGTAGGTTTGGTTTCTAGGAATATGCTGCATCCTTCCTGTGCAATGCAACTGATTGTTGGGCGGGAATGTTCCAGCTTGTGTGTCTTAAGCAATGTAGCTTGTGTAGTGTGTGTTGTGTGGCCCAGGCAGAGTTTGCAGTGGAGCTGTGAGTGAAGAATCTCAGTTAGAGCTGGTGAGCAGCTGAAGTACTGGAGCTGCGAAGAGAGGTATTGCAGGAGGTACGCTGTGGCTGTGAGGTGCCTCAGAGTGTGCTTTTCTCTTGTCTTTGCAGGTGCTTTGTGCAGTCGTGGACAGGGAAGGGAAATCCTCATGTCACGAAGCTCTGAGGGAAGGTTTGTGTTGTCAGCCTGGTCATCCCTTATCCAAAGCGAAGGGAAGATTGTTTGGTGTTTGATTGTTTTGGCGTATAATCTGTTCTGCTCCTAGACCTTTCTTTCTTTGTAAAAAAAAAAAAAATGTTTGAGCTATTTCCAGTTAAGCAATTTCCAGTTACTTGCTGGGCCTTATTGTCCTTTTAACATTCAAAGCTGCAGCAAAAGCATGGGGATTGTTCCTTCTAGAAACACCCCAGTTCTCTTGTCTGCAGTCTGCATGCTGTTGAGCTAAAGCAGATTTGAAAAAAACAAAACAAACAACAAAAAAAACCCAAACAATAAAACAAGAAACACACACACACACAAACAACAACAACAAAAAACCACCTTTGGGTTATTTGTTGTGAATGCAACGATCATTTAATCCCTTTGTTTTCCCAGGTGGTGTGGATGATATTGGCTGCACTGTTGGAGCTTGGATTCGGAGAGGAAGAGGTGAGCAGAACTGTATGTTGCATGAGTACTATTCAGCATTGTGGAGCAGGTGGGCATCATGGCTGGCGTGTTAGTGAATGCTGATACTCTGTTTTTGCAGCTGATGATGAGCCTGGCAGTTGACTAAGATGTCAATCGGTGCCTGTGTATTTCTTGAGGCGGAGGGACTTTACCATGCAGCAACCTGAGAGCTAACTTGGGGGGCGCCTGGTATTTGCATATCTGGGGTGGCTAATGGGAGCTGGGAGCCAGAGCAGCATGGAGCGTGCTGGCTGAATAGACTTGGTGCCACTGTGAGGGTGGTTCAGGCTGGGTCACCAGCCTAATAGAAGCAGCGGGATTATTTTGTAGTGTGAGTGCGTGTGGCAGGCCGGACAGTTTCCTTCAGTTTGTCTGTCTTGTAGTGTTGTTTCTGCAGGGTCTGTTCTATGCTTCTCGGGTCTTGATATCCTCCTGGCTTTTTAGGCTGGACTGACCAGGCAGGCGACTTGGTAGCTGTGCTGAAGGGCCTCAGTGCTTGTTTGGTCATCTTGATTCTGATCCGAGCACTTCTTGTCTTGCAGTCGCTGCTTGAACTGCAGATCTGTTTCAGGTCTTGTGAATCATATTCGGTTTGAGATCACATCTGTTTCCATCCTCACTCTTGCAGAAGTCATCTGGGCCGCATCAGGAGCTCTTGCTTGGGAATTGATTTCCTGGGAGTTGTCTTAGGGGGTTTCCACTCCACATTACTCTGGTCTCTTGTCTTGAAGGCAGGCTTTTTAGGCCTTCATCATCCCAGTTCTGGCAGTTGCTTCCAGTCGCGTGTCGTGACATTCGAGTCTCTCGTAGGGTCTGGTGCAGAGCACCTGT